TTGTGCAAGCATAAAGACCTGAGTTCGGATCTCCAGCACCCATCTGAAAGGTAAGATTGGTGGTGCCTGTAACTCCAGTCTAGAAGGGTCAGAGACCACTAGTCCAGCAAAAAACCAGTCATCTCCGGGGTCAGTGAGAGACTATCAAGATACGGTGGAGAGCTACAGAGGAGACATGGGGTTCTAAAAGCATGGAAGGGAGTGCACACGCACACACACACACACAGTTGTTTTTTTTTTTTTTTAATTTACAAGCATTAAAACAGGCTGGTAATATGCTCAGTGGGTAAAGCCCTGCTGTGTAAGCCTGGTGACCAGAGTCCAACCCCCAGAAAACTGAGGGGAGGGAACCAGAAGTTGTCCTCTGACTTCTTCACGTGCACCATAGCAAATGCGCGTGCACAAACACAATTAACAAGTAAAATCAAAACTCCAAAAATTTAAAATACAAAGTTCATAAATCATATACAGAGAAAAGCCTGGTCTATAAAGCAAGGTCCAGGACAGCATGGGCTGTAACACAGAGAAACCCTGTCTTGAAACCACCCTCAAGAAAAAAGTCAGGAATAAACCTGGATGGCTACCATAAAGGCAAGGAATAGATAAATTCAGTCAGACACACACACACACACACACACACACACACACACACACACACACGCACACGCTCTCAACAGAAGTATAAAACAACACAGACATGCCATTCGCCATGCTGTGGTGTGAGTCAGGGCGGAGTCATGAGCGGAACTGTACTCAGTGGAGAGAGAGGAGCTTCTTCACGTCTCGGCAAGGACTGTAGTCCACCCCAGAAAGGCTCTCCACCCTCCCCTCAACCATGTCCTAGGAGCCAGAAGCACCGCTTGCAGCACTTGAGATAGCCCGGAGTGGAAGATAAGAGATCCCAGGCAGGCAGGCTGGCAAGATGTGTCTTGCCTAGACAATGGCAGAACACGCACCGGCAGAACTGTCCTTATTAATCGTGAACAAAATAAGAAGAAACGACAGAGCAACAATTCAACAGGCAATGTATAAAACGAAAGGGATGAGACACACAAAAGACAAAGAACCTGGTAAGCCAGACGCCTAAGCTGAGAGTGATACTTCCCAGAAGGGAGTCATAAAATAGACTGAATTCATTAAAATAAGAGCCAAAGATAAACCGAAACAGTCAGCTCAAAAACCTAAAAACAGGCCAGAATAATATGACACTTCTGACAGTTGTTACTGTCAACCCAACAGAATCTACCAGAGCAGGCAACTCTCTGGTTATGCCCAGGAGGGGTCTTTAGATTGAGAAGACCCACCGTAACTGGGGTGACACCATTCCATGGACTGAGGTCCCAGACCGAATCAAGACTCTAGCTGCCGTGAGGACTGTACCCTCAAACCGTGAACCAGAAGAACCCCTTCTCTAAGTTGCTTTTATCAGGTATTTCTGTCATTCCAATGAGAAAGGTTAACTAATACAACATTTGACACCAAAAATAGAAACAAATTTGTTTGCATGTTTGAGATTTTGGAGATCACGGGCCAGTTATCCGTAATGCAAGGTCTGCTGGCGAAGGGCAATGATTCCGACCTATAATCCCAGCTGCTGTGAAGGGACAAAAACCCTGCATATTAAAGTCCAGCCTGGGCAGCTTATAGAGACCAGATCAAAACTGACAGAAACGGCTGGACATACAGCAAACTAGCAGATTAATAGAATGTTCCCTAACATGAAAGAGGCCTAAGAATAGAAAATTCTACCACAGTAAACATACTGCTAGACCACACAGGAAAGTGAACAGACTTCTACAGTACACAGCGTAGATGAGTGTCGTCAGATTAACAACAGAGGTAAAAATTCCTATTGCCTAGTGATGTGGCAGCAGTCAGTCCTAATGACCCGGAGCGACACCGCTCAAGTGTCTCTGGGCGCTGGTACAAACCCAGGCACCCCCGGGAGGGCAGAGCTTACACTTCCTGATGTGTACCTGCTACAGAACTTTACATTGTTATTTTCGTGTGTGTTCCTCACTGTGTTTCTCCACTGCACCAAGAAGCCAGCTGAGTTCACACAAGGGACTGACCTAACTGGACAGTTCTAGAAGGACCACGAGGAACACACAATGGGAACTATAAACTTGAAGTTCTCCAAGTACACTGGTTTCACTGAGAACCTAACATGCATTTTTAGATCACAGGTTCTTCTGTGAGTGAGGATGCATAGGTGTCTGTGTCTGAGTGCCTTTGTATAGGACATGTGTGCATGCATGTGGAGGTCAAAGGTCAACCTTAGGCATCAATACTCAGGAGCCATTCACCTTGATTTTTTCCTTGGTTTATTTTGAGACAAGGACTCATGTAGCCCAGGCTGGCCTAGAATTTGCTATATGAAGATGACCTTGATTTTCAGATCCTCCTGACTACCCCAGAATACTGGGATTATAAGCATACACCACTAGACCTGGTTTATATGGTGCTACCAACCACACCCAGGGCAGTGTGAATGCTAGGCAAATACTTCACCCAATGAGGTACTTTCCTAATGCCAATCCTGTTTTCCCTTTCAACACTATGCAGTTATTACTGTGTACATGTGCATGCATACACAATGTTCCGAGGACAGCTTCTGGAGAGTCCAGTCTCTCCTGCTACCATGAGGGTCATGGGGACTGAGGGTCTCAGGCCTGGCAACAAGCACTTTTACCCACTGACCTACCTCACCAGCCACCTACTTTCTTTTTTGAGACCTGAGCTCTGCAGAAGGCTAGGCTAGCAAGGCAGGGAGTACCAGAGTCCACCTACCTCCTCCTCCTGTCCCCAGCCCAGGATTATGAGCTCTCGCCACTGTACCTGGCTCTTTAGAACAAACTCAGATTCTCATGCTTGCCTAGCAAGCAATTTATCAATGGAGCTGTTATTATCTCTGCAGCCCACTAAAGATGAGAGAGTTTTAACATTCACAAAATAGGCAACTTTATTTATTAACATACAAATAACATGTTAATACAAATAAAATATCACCATATTTTCCTATAGGAATTGCTAAAAGATGCTTGTAAAAGACTTTAAGAAAATGGAAACTGCCAAGTTGTGGTAGCACATGACTTTAATTAGTGTTCAGGAGACAAGAGGCAGGCAGATCTCTGTGAGTTACAAACCAGGCTACATAGTGAAGATAAAGAAAGGAAGAAAGAAAAGAGGGAGGGAGGGAGGGAGGGAGGGAGGGAGGGAAAGAACTAGATTAACAAACAAGATGAGGTAAGCTAGAAACAATCTACAGGTACCCTGAATAAATAATGACTGTAAAGAATGAGGCCTGGGATGTAACTCAGCAGTACACTGCTGCCTAGAGGCATGAGGTCCTTCCTGGCTATCCTCAGCCATACAGAAAACAAAAAACACAACACAGATCACTAAGAGCTGCTTTATTTTGGGAGGGTGGTAACAAAACTGACCTATTTTGAAATATCTGTCAATTCAAATGCAGATTTAAAAATCACCATAAAAACAGACTATTGGTTCATGACAGAGACAAAACAAAGAAAGCAAAGCAAAACCACAGTCAACCCACACGTACTTGAGCACACAAAAAGGAGCTGGACTAGAGAGGCTCACGGCTACCCAACACCCACAAAGCTGTCCACAACCACGCCTTTAATCCCAGCACTCAGGAGGCAGAGACAAGCAGATCTCTGGGAGTTAGAGGCCAGCCTGGGCTACAGATGAGTTCCACCTAGCAAGGGCTAAAACAGTGGACCTTGCCTCAAATATAAAGTAAAGAATTAAAAAATTAACACCAAGTATAAACTTACCAAATCCTAAATTGAATTTTATAAAAGACATCCCAAATTGACAACAGAAAGGCTAAATGCTAAAATTAGAATACAGACATAGCCAGTTAATATGAATTGAAAAAAAGTGTTTCAAAATATATAGGGGATAGGGCTGAAGAGATGGTTCAGCTGTGAAGAGAACTGGTTGCTCTTCCAGAGGTCCTGGGTTCAATTCCCAGCACCTACATGACAGCTCACAACTGTTTGTAACCATAGTCTCATGGGATCTGATGCCCTCTTCTAGTGTGCAGGTATACATGTAGACAAAACATCCACATACATAAAATAAATAAGTCTTAAAACACACACACATGTAATATAACGTTCATCAAAATATATTATAACGGGCTGGAGAGATGGCTCAGAGGTTAAGAGCACTGACTGTTCTTCCAGAGGTCCTGAGTTCAATTCCCAGCAACCACATGGTGGCTCACAACCATCTGTAATGAGATCTGGCACCCCTCTTCTGTATACATAATAAATAAATCTTTAAAAAAAATATATATATATATTATAACAAATAAATTATAACATAATTTCACCAACACTGGAATGTTTATTATATTTGATTCCCATGTGTGTTGGGTGCAATCTATTATTAAAAATAAAAAATGAGGAAAAAAAGTATATAAAACTCTCCCTAAAATAAAGTTTTCAGGGTTGGGGATTTAGCTCAGTGGTAGAGTGCTTGCCTAGCAAGCGCAAGGCCCTGGGTTTGGTCTTCAGCTCCGAAAATAAAATAAAGTTTTCTATTTTAAAAGTAAGTCATTTTTTTAGCAAGGGGAATAACAGTTCTGCTCATGCTGTATTTCTAGCATATAACATCTTGCAAGTACTTAACCATATCCTACACCAGCTCAACACACTGACTACAAAAGACTCAAGATCACAAAAAAGGAACCAGACTGTATAACTAAATGTTCCTTTTTGATGTAGCAAGTGACCTCGTCATTAAAAGAAACCAGGAGGAAGTAGAATTGTGCATTCTAATCTTTTTTTGAGGGATCTCCAGTTTGTTTCTTCTGTATGTCTCCCCTGACGTCACAGTCAGTCACTGAGCTCAGCTGAAGCGCTCCGCTGCCCTGTCACACCCTCCCTTCCTCAACTTGACCACTGGGCACCTTCTCTGTTCCCACGTCAGTTCCTGTTCCACAGCTGAACGAGAGAGAAAAGGCGTACCTTCCATCTTTCAGGGTGTTCACGATGAATCGGTTGACCTGGCAGACACAGTTGCTGGCCAGTTTCTGTCCCTCGACAAGAGGGTTCAGCTGTGTGGCCAACATGAAAGCTGCAAGGCAAAGAGAGGACTTCAGCTCCAAGCCCTTCCTGTCTTAATCTGAAAGCTGATCACAAGGAAAAGCATTAAATACAGCTGTTTAAAGCCCCTCGGACTCTGCAGAGAGGACATCTGCCCCGCCTTAAAATCTTGGGCTACTCCTAAACATTATCTATTCCTCAAAGATCCCAGATCATTTTTACTATCAGTTTCCTGGGGAAAATGAAGGCAATCCTTTCTAGGTCTTTAGTGCTGTGACTAGAGACACCAGGCAAACAGTCTAGAAGCCACCTCACCACCACCACCACAAATCTTCTTTTTGAAGATTCTAGAACAGAAATAAAACTGAAAAAGTTAAGCACAGGATGGCTCACCCATCACACTCACAAAATGTCAATACTATCCTCGGGGAAATTAATCAAAGAAAACATACAACACCAGTTAGAGGAAATTAATTAAGCTGAATGGCAGCTTCCCACTACATCCAGTGTATTGTCAGCCAGGCTCTCCGCCAGAGGCATGTCTCCCTCAACAAAGCCCACAGCCTGTGTGGACTTCAGGTGCTCAAACTCTGCAATCAAAGGGAACGGTGTGCTGCTGTTATCCAAGTATTCCCACAGCCTAGATTTATTCATCATACTCACAGGACAGCGTGTTCAATCCATCACTCATAAGCAGTCGATACCGGGGTGGACTATTCCCTGTAGTAATGGGACGAATGTTCTAGAAAAGTTGACAGAAAAGTTGATTCATTAAGCAGGCTGTCTGCCTAATCCCTAAGGGTAAGTAAACCTAAGTGGCAGGAGAGAGGGTCTGCCGTTAGTTTAAGACAAGATGAACTGCTTGCCTATCCTCCTGACACCTAAATACAAATGAAAGAAAATTGGATTGATGATTTTTCTCACCAAACTCTCTCCACTAACATTATTAAAAACGAAATAAACGGAAGTATCGATAATGGTGCTTTCTCTCTCCTGTATCTCAAAATTATGTATAACCCGGCACCTAACACACACAAGGAACTGTTTAGGGAACACGCTGAAAACACAAGGTAAAATTAAAAATGGAAAGAAAATGATCTCACGGCAGGATCTCACAGAAGCAGATAGGATAGCAACATGCGGACAGAATGATCTCAGGGCAGAGCAGACACTGACCTGGCCTGAAGGGGGCCAGGGGAAACTTGTGAAGGGAGCTGACCAAGAAGCCAGCTTAGTCTGAAGGTGACTGGCCCAGGGGGGTGGGGGTGGGGGTGGGGTGTCCTCATCTTCACCTACTGTCTCAGAATCTACAGGAATGAGCCTGCCTGCAGTCTCTTTTCTAATGATATTAGAAATTCACATTACATTTTAGAACCCCCTAAATGATGGATCAATTAATTAAAAAACATTTAAGTAGGAAAGCTCATCAAAAAAATCTTAGTATCTACTTGTGTGTATGTGTGTGTGTGGGGGGGGGGTATATGTGTGAGAGAGAGAATGAGTGTGAGTGTGTCCTGGAAATGGGGGAGAAAAAGTGTGTGAGTGTGTGTGTGTGTGTGCACCATATGAGAGAAAGTATGTGTTCTGGGAAGTAGACAAAACTCTGTGTCTTTCATCACATGCGATTTTTAATTATAGATGAGCTGAAACATGTTTGTTCGGCTTCCCACACATGCAGCTACTTACAATGACTTGAAGGATGGGCTTTATGGATGTATCTCCCTGTTGCATTATGGCCTGAAAAAGAAAAAAAACAGATTCTTATTTTAAAAAAAAAAAAAAGGAAAAACAACTTAAAATTTGTATTTATTTAGGAGAGCTTGCTATTTAGAATAAACTAGAGAAAATATCATCCTAAGGGCCTGCCTCGCCAGGACCATCCTGCGGCTCAGTGGGAAAAGGTGGCGCTGCACAGGCCTGAGAGCCCAGGTTCGATCCAAGGCACCGTGGAGGGAGAGAACACACTCTTGGAAGCTGTCTTCTGACCTCCATGTGCTTTGTCGTGCGCGGAAAGACACCACAATAACAATAAGAGAATCCAACTAAATTTAAAAGAGCCCGTCAGAGGTATCCAGCAGAAAAGTTTTAATTTTATCATTGGACAAATCATGGAGCCCAAGCTGGCCTCAAGTCTGCTAAGTCCCTAAGGATGACTGTGAACTCATGATCCTCCTGCTTCTAGCGCCCAATACTCAAGACTCTTCTCATGAAATCAGTGTGATATTAACATAACGGGAGAGGGACCATTCTTGCTATGTATCTCTAGTTGACCTGGAGAGCTTCCTGTCTCAGCCTCCAGTGCTGGAAGTACAGGTGAGTGCCACCACACTCAGTACGAATGTGAATTTCTAATTAAATAAAACATCAAAAATGGAAGATCCATAAAGTGTAATGAGCCAATGTTTTCCAAATGACTAATGCATGCTAACAGAGACAGAGCTGAGCATGGTTACACATGCCTGTAAATCTCAATACTCAGGAGACTCAGGCAAGAAGATCATGAGCTCCAGACCAGGTTAAGCTGTGACACAGGATTCCAGAAACAGACCTACATACTCAGTGGATTTTGTCAAACACAACAAAGTACCTCAGTGGAACAAAACTGGTCTGACAAGTCACCATGCATAAGAAGTAAACCCAAGGCCTTGCTAAATGCTTGGCAAAGCTTGGTGACCTGAGTTGGATCCCCAGAACCTGTGTTTTAAAATGCTACTCGTGGTGGTACATGCTTGTAATTCCTGAGCTGGGGAGCTGGGGAGGTAAGGACAAGCAGAAACCTGGGGCTCAGTGGAGGTCAACCAGCCTAGTCTACTTGGTAAACTGCAGCTCTCAAACAACTGACCCTGTCTCAAACAACACCCAAGGTTGAATTCAGGGCTACACACATATGCACATGGATCTGCACTCGTGCGTGCGCACGCGCACGCGCGCGCGCGCGCGCGCACACACACACACACACACACTTGTAAAAAAAACTAACTAGTTAGTTAACTAATTAAAAGTTAACTTGAAATGGTTCACGAGTCTGAAAGCAAATCTAAAACTTTAGAAATTTAGGAGAAAAACATGGGACAAAAAATTTTTAACCTAGAAATAAGTAAAAAATTTAGAGTACAAAAGTGTAATTCATAGAAGGAAAACTGGAGTTACAGACTGTTGTGAGCAGCTCTTTGTGTGCTAAGAATTGAACCTGGGGCCTCTGGAAGAACAGCCAGTGCTACTAACTGAACCTTCTCTCCAGCCACCATTGCGCACACCTTCAATCCTAGCACTCAGGAGGCAGAGGCAGACAGCTCTGTGAGCCTGAGGCCATCCATGGTCACACAGTGAGACCCTGGGTGTGTGGGGAGTGTCACTGAAAGCCAATGAGATGGCTGAGGGGGTAAAGGTGCTTGCTGCCACGCCAGGTGACCTAAAATCCAAACCCTGGGTCCCACTTGGTAGGAGAGAAGCAATTCGTGTAAGCAGTCCTCTGACCTCGATCCGTGTTCGGTGGCACCTGGTTACACACACTCACGGAAACAAGTGTTTTTAAAAGTGGGAGGGTAAGTGGGGGTGTAGCTCAGTGGTTAAGCTCCTGTGTCAGTGTGGAGTCTCTGCATCTGACCTTGAAAACCTTCCATGAAAAGGCAGCACAGCCTATGAGAAAATAGTTGTGAGATTTATGTTTACAGTTAACAGAAGACATATACGAAATAAATCCTGCCACGTTTTTGTCTTCCAGGACCTGTTCTTGTTCTGTAGCTTACGCTAGCCTGGAGCTCCTGACCCCCCAGCTTCTGGCTGGGACAACAGTCACATACTACTACATTCTAGACAAAAACCCAAATTCAAGACCTCAAAAAGATGTGGACACTTCCCAAGCTATACAGATGGACAACAAAGACAATGATGGACGGTCAATGTCATTCCTAATGAAGGAAATACAGATGAGATCCCAGAGAGCCAGCATTACACTTACACATTCATCAGGACAGAGATGAGTAGCACTAAGCATTGGTGACGAGAATTTTCATAAACACTTGGGAAAAGGTGGAGATTTCTATCAAATTAAGCATTCAGTTACCATATGACCTAGCAATCACACTCCCAGATATTTATCTGCAAATATCTGGATTACTTTATATATACAAAAAATTTAATACATATTACATAATTTATGTATACATTATGAATAATTTATGTGATATATTTAAATATTAATATGTATAAAGATCTGTACATAAATGTTCAAAGCATCTTCATTTACAATAGCCAAAAAAATAAAAATAAAGCTGGGCTTAGTATACCACAGGCCTGTAGTGCCAGCTACTTGGCAGGCAGACACAGGAAACAACTGAGGCCAGGAGTTCAAAGCCAATCTGAACAGCATAATGAGACTGTTCTCAGAAGGAAAAAAAAAAAGGGAACCAAAGCAAAACCGAAACTACAAATCTTCCCCCTCCTTTCTGTACTTTTTTGGGATAGGGTCTCACCTAGGCCAGGTTGGTGCTGAACTCACTATGGAGATAAGTACCAATCCTCTTACCGAGACCTCTCAAGTGCTGGCTTTACCGACCCAGACCAAAGGCCACATAAGTTTGCTCCGTACAGTGCTGGGGAGCAAATCTAGGGCTTTATGCCAAGTAGGCAAGCGCTCTACCAATTCAGCTACATCTCTGGGCCTTTTGTTTCCTCTTTATCCTTTTTGAGATAGGATCTTGCAGCCTAAACTGGCCTCGACCTTTCAACCTCTGGCTAACTTGGTTTACAGAAATGTTCCACGGAACCCAGCGGGGCGACTGTTGTTGTTTTTTAATCTTTATTCCTTGTGTGCGTGTAGCTCAGACAAGTTGCAGGAGTCAGTCCCCTCATCCCACCATGTAGGTTCGGGAGATCAATCTCTGATCCTCAGGCTTGGTGCGTTACCCACTGGGCCATCTTGCAGGCCCCCGTGGACAAGTTTTCCTTTGAGAAGTTATTTCTGGCCTGGGTGTGGTAGCTCACACTTGTAATTCCACCACTCAGGGAGGCAGAGGTAGGAGGACTACCACAGGTGGACGCCAGCCTGGGGCCAGCCTGGGCTACACAGTAAGGTAGAGGTCATAGACCACATGGCAAGACCCTGTTTTAAACACACTGGGTCAGCCAGGTGGTGGTAACACACCTTTAATCTCAGCCTGGTTTACAGAGTGAGTTCCAGGGCAGCCAGGGCTACACAGAGAAACCCTGTCTCCAAAACCAAAACCAAAACAAAACAAAAAAACCACTGGGCAGGGTAAAGCAAAGGTCAATAATTTCATTAAGTACCTTTCTGTTCTGTTTAACTTAAAAACCACATGCAGGTTATTACTTTATTGTTCTTAATTTAAAATGTATCATAAATAGGCAAAGGAAAATTTTTCTTTGGAACATATCATAACACATACACTTAAAAGTACTTTAAATTGGGGCTGGGAAGGTGGCTCAGGGGTTAAGAGCACTGGCCACTCTTCCCAGAGGCTCTGAGTTCAATTGCTAGCGCTCAAATGTTGTCTCACAGCTGTCTATAATAAAGGAATCTGATGCCCTATGGTATGCATCTACATTCATGTAGACAAAACATCCATATATATATAATACATAAATAAATCTTTCTTAAAAGTACATTAAAATTTTCAAGTAACATTCCTAATAAAAAAATTCACAAAGCAATCAAATAAGGCAACAGGCAGTTTATACCTCTTTCCATTTTAACACCTTTGATTGTAAAATGTGACATTGATTAAAAAAAAATAACTGACATTGGAAATCATAAAAATACTAATTTCCTTGCCTTTTCCTCCTATAGCTGAATTATGTGAAGACAGACATGATGGGCTGGCCAGAGGTACAGTTTATCAGTAGAGTGCTTGCCTAGCTTACGTGATTGAGGTCTTGGGTTTGATCTCCACCCCTAGGGATAGCAAGTCAATAAAAGTCTTGTACTTATCCTACTTATCACCATAGTTCCAAGCATAAGCTCATTTTATGGTAACTTCTCCCCCAATACCTCTACTTTCTGCTATTTGCTTAGCTAGTGGGGCCTGATGCTTTTGTGCTAAAATGACACTTTTGTCAGGTATCCAGGGATCTCCATACTCCATCACCATAAACACATATTAAAACACTATGGAGCCCGGCATGGTGGTATTTCGGGAGGCGGAGCTTGTGATCTCTATAAGTTCGAGGTCAGCCTGGTCAACAAAGCCAGTTCCAGAACAGCCTGGATGGTCTTTAAAAGCAAACAAACAAACAAAAAACATTTTTACCTATGATCAAAACCTTAAAAAAAAAAAAAAGAAAAAAGAAAAAAAAATCCTACAACTTTATAAACAAAGTCTAAGAAGTAATATTTCACCCAATGTCTGAAACAGCTTTCTTTCTAAAATGTTTATATTTAAGAAAAACTTAGCAAATTATTTAAATAACCCTATGAACATTCTTTGTAAGAGTAAAGAATCATTTGTAATTTGTCTTAAGGGTACAAGGTGGTAGCCATGTTAGTCAGGACAATTCAAAAATCATATCCCAAGCTTCAACATTAATGCAACCCTAGTGTATACAAATATCCCTTTGATTCTGACAACTGTTTTTCCTCCTCCTCTTTTTCTTCCAAGCTGCTTCTTTCCTGCTTTCCGCCTCTGTCCCTCTCTCTTTCCACTGTTTCATTCTGTAGAGACAGGCCTCACAGTCTCTAAAACTTAGTGTAGGAAACACAAAGTAACTCACAGCAGTCAAATAATAAATGCACATTTACACCTGTGACGTGGACTTCGGAAACCCAATCCTCCAACTAGTCCTGTGCAATGGGTACTCAGCATCACCCTCATTTTACAGACAAGGGGAAGAGTTCAGAAAGTGGCCCAACGTCATACATACTATAACAAGGGAACAAAAACTCAAAATAAATGGATTCAGTCTAGTTACTTTGCCAACCAACCCAGTAAAAACTGAGCTGAACTGGAACATTCTGTTAACAAAAGAAATAGAAACAATGATCAATGGCCTCCAGGGAAAGATATTTTAAAAGAGAAAAACAGAAAGACAAGGCCTGCAAGGGGAGTGCATGTGTTGAGTAGATCTGACTAGTTCAGACAACAAATGATTGCTGCAGTGTGGATGGGAAGCAGATGACTCAGAGATCTGTGTGGAGTTAAAATATACTTCAGTTGTTGACAGGACTAGGCACCCAGTGAGGCAAAATGTAGGGAGGATTCCTTAGTTTCTAACTAGCATAAATTAAGGAATAATGGTGTAATTCATTGAGACAGAGACATCCAGAAATTCAAACTGAGGGCGAGCAAGATGGCTCTGTGGGCAAAGAGGCCTGCTGTGCAAGCCTGGATACCTGAGTTCAATCCCCAGAATCCACAGAGAAGTGTGGAGAGAACTAACAACTTCACGAAGTTGCTCTCTGCATCCCCACATCAAGCATATGCACTCGTGTATGTACACACATATACACATGTAATCCTTTTTAAAATTCAGACTTAAGGACATCATGAATTTGCTCTGAGATGTTCAATTTAAGATGACTTTGAGAACAGAGGGCAGAGAGAATCCTTTAGATCGAAGGTAGCTCAGCAGGAAGAAATTAATGAGCAATTGACATGCAGATGAGGGCTAGTGTACAGAGGGCCTTGAGTCAACAAAAACTTGCAAATAAATTGACAAGGAAAGAGCAGCCAACGTAGGTCACAGAACCCAAGAGAGTAGTGTTAGCAGAAAGAAGCAGTGGCCGACAAGCCCAAACAATGTCAGCTGAAAACTGAAAAACGTCTTCCGACTTGGCTACCTGGGAGACCACTGGCGACTTCAGCCAACGTTTTCTCCCGTGATCAGAGAAAAAGTCTAACAGGAGTAAAGAGTCAAGAGGAGGCAAAGAAATCAAACAGCCGAAAACAACTCTAGAAAAGTTTGGAGGTGATGGGGAAAGGGAGAAAAGGGAGGCCGCAGAAGGTAGGTACATAGGAGCATGTTTATTTGTCTTGTTTTCTTAGGTAGAGGAAATGCGGGCTTGTATACGGGAACCAGGATGCCTCGTGGGGAGGGGGATGACCACTGAGACCCCCGGGAGGCTTTCCGGGCTCCCACGCAATCTCCTCCCCGACGCTCTCCCGTTCAACAGCGGCTCCCTCCGCCCCGTCTGCTTTGCACCGCTCCAGGCCGGTGCTGCCAGAGCCATCGGCCCCGCTCAGGGTCGTCTCCTTACCGCAATGGCCCCCTCGCTCAGGTGTCCCACCATGGCTGCACCGCTAACTCCCGCGCTCGCGCTCCAGCGCCGCCCGAGCTTCCCGGCCGGGGTCCCGCGGGCTGCTCACCGATTGGCCAGAGCCTCCGTGCGTGCCGCCC